TTCTTTATAGAAAACGTTACGAGAGCAGCTCCATCGTCAGTTCGAGGAACCTAGAATAATAAATTAGAAGTCACAAATTATTAAAATGAAAGCACAGAAGAAAATTAAAAACCTAAATTTACAAAAAATAGAGAGCAAAAAATATCTATCTATTCACAACTTCAAGGGGATAGAAGCACGGTATGTAGAACATTCCATGCTATGTTCTACATACCATGCTATGCACGCTGAATTTGAATTTTTACGCAAGATTTTCGCGCTTAATGGATTTCCGGTAACTTTGTTTTTTACCCAAATTAAGAAATTCATGTCGTAGCGATACAGTGAGGTTGTTCCCGAGCGCAATAGTACGAACGTTATTTATTGTTCTTTTCTATACTTCGGCCCTGCGTCCGAAGCTATGTCAAGAGACGGACGCGGTATAAGTTTGCTTGAGAAACTCTGCGGATGGTTTAGTTATATGCTATATGTTCCGCAGTTGTCCCTGTAGCATAAAGTTTGGCTTGCGGTACCTCCAGCGCGATGAAGTTGGTGGCGCCCACCAGAGGGCGCAGGGCGATGACGTCCATGTCCGAGTACAGACCTCCGAACTTGTACACCAGCGCCACGCGGCTCATGTCGCTCAGGTTGTGGATTTTGTGCGCTGCCAAGATGACAAAATGACCATTACGGTTGTGACATTGCTGCTGGATCCCAACGCTTAAAAGACTTGATGTTCATGACTGTTATATTCACAATATCTCCCGAGGAACAGTTTCTCACTATGGTATTGCAAACAAACGTTAGATAGCTATTACTTCCTTAACATAAATTCTTGTAAGAAGATACTCACAAGTGTTATTGAACTTTTTGGAGTGATAAAGTTCTAGCAGCGGAGTTCCCTCAAAAAGCGAGGTGAAGTTCACATGAGCCACCCACAAGTTCTGGTAGGCGGCCTGAAGAGCCTTCAAGGCTGCCAGCGTCGAGGGTTCTAAGGGCTGAGCCGTCACCAAGAACCACACGGTTGCTTGTGGATTTACTTTGCAGTAACTGCAGAGATGGACAAAAAAGTTAAGCAAAAATTTGGTTAAGGCCTGTTGCTGGCAGTGGCCGAGCCTGAAGAGTGGGGTCAAGAAGTGGAATGATGGCCTAGACGTTCTTGAACAGTCAGCTAGGGTTAAGGATTGTAGAAATAAAATAATAGCAGCAGTACCTTAGGAGCTCCCTCACAGGAAGCATGTTGCGTTTGATCTTGTTTAATAAAATTTCTCATAAACCAACTCGTCCTCCGTGTCGCCATATTGTATAGACAGCCTGCATGCCAAGTGAGGAAAATTCACCGACGGGCCATCGTTTGCTGGTGGAGACGACGGTCGTTTGCTCACTATCACTCATAACTCATCACCATCACCCATAACTCATCACCATCACTCATCATCATCACTTATCACCATAACTCATCACTATAATCACCTCTCCAGCCCACAGAGCCCCCTAGGAGGCACAGCTGCTGCATGCGACGTCTCCATCAAGTAGACGTTGGACGCCGCGACATCTGGCACCACGTCCCTGGTGGCACGTACGGGCAGACGTCAGTACGTCGTCGTACTAATTATGTTATAACTTCATTTCTAATTAAGTTATACTTCTTACTTTACAACTAATTAAGTTATAGTTAAGTTAACTTTATAACTAATTAGTTATAACTTCATTTCCTAATTTACTACGGTACAATTTTGTACGATTATTATAGTAGACCGCCGGCTTTGGTCTCGGGTACAACGCCATAACAATGACATAAGCCAATTCTTGCCTCAGATTAAGCCCATTCTTGCCTCACAAATTGACCGTCCTTAAATTCGTTTCTTTGATTCCTCATTAATGTCGAATGAACAATCCCTGCTTGAACCTACGTTACAAATAAATTTCTCAAAGTCTATTCTTCTTTCAGACCTTAATTTTCAAAACATATCGTGCTTCTGATGCAACAATTAACCCTATTTTGGGGTAATTTATTTCCTTCGCTCTACTCCTACCCCAACTCACGCGTCAAACTCCAGCAGTTTTACCGCAGAAAAATTCACGCGCTTTACTGCGTCTCTTGCTTCCGCCGCCGACGACAAGCTGAGCGGAGCGCTGGCAAAACCTGCCCGTGAAAAGTGGTTCTAATTTTGGTGATGAAATCATAGGAGCGTGATAAACTTGCTCGCCCCGACCACTTGTTCCAATTTATCGTGAGCATGTCTCAGTTTACCGTGAGCATGTCCTAGTTTATCTGTATGCTAGTGCCATTCAGCCCGTATATCTGTCTTGCTTACCCGTATGTGCTTCTCAGCTTACCCGTATACGCAACCCGAAGAATACGCGCGTACAAGTCACATTTACGTGTAAGAGCTTCTCGTACACGTGTCCTGTTCTCCCGTACACGTGCCCTGTTCTCCCGTACACGTGCCCAGTTCTCCCGTACACGTGCACAATTTCCAGTACACGTGCCCAGTTCTCCCGTACACGTGCCCAGTTCTCCCGTACACGTGCCCAGTTCTCCAGTACACGTGCCCAGTTCTCCCGTACACGTGCCCAGTTCTCCCGTACACGTGCCCAGTTCTCCCGTACACGTGCCCAGTTCTCCCGTACACGTGCCCAGTTTTCCCGTACACGTGCCCAGTTTACCGGCGTAGTACGCGGCCGACGTCAGCACCGCCAGCCCCGCCAGTGTCAGGAGCTTCAGGCGGTGCGACAGCAGCGAGGCTGATGGGGGAAATAATGGTGATAATTGGGGGAGTAAAATGGGGACATTGTGAAGGGGAATCAGAGGGAATTTAAAAGTGGGATCATTGTGAGGGGAAATCTGAGGGAATAAAAAATGGGAACATTGTGAGGGGAAATCTGAGGGAATAAAAAGTGGGAACATTATGAGGAGAAATCTGAGGGAATAAAAAGTGGGAACATTGTGAGGGGGAATCTGAGGGAATAAAAAGGGGGAACATTGTGAGGGGAAATCTGAGGGAATAAAAAGGGGAACATTGCGAGGGGAAATCTGATGGAATAAAATGAGGGAACACTGTGAGGGGAAATCTGAGGGAGGAACATTGTGAGGGGAAATCTGATGGAATAAAAAAGGGGAACATCGTGAGGGGAAATCCGATGGAATGAAAAGGAGGAACATTGTGAGGGGAAATCTGATGGAATAAAAAGGGGGAACATTGTGAGGGGAAATCTGAGGGAATAAAAAGGGGGTACATTGTGAGGGGAAATCTGAGGGAATAATAATATATGTTTAAAAATTACTTTTTAAAGACAACACTTCCAAAGAATCCAGTGTCTCCAATCTTAAAGATGCACCATGAATTTCTCATTAAATTTTCGAATATTAAAAAAATTAATTTTTCAATTTTTTAATATATAATTTTTTTTAATATATAATTTTTTAAAATTATTTATTCTATTAATTGATTCATGCAGTGCCTCTGACTTCACACAAGTGTGTAAAATTTCAGGTCAATTAGACAGGTAAAAATGTGTCAAATATCAGTTATAAGATTTGTAGATTTTTTCAATTTTTTTAATATTGAAAAATTTTTTTTTAATTTTTAAAATAATTTATTTTGACATTTGATTCATGCATTGTCTCCGACTTCAAACATGTATGCAAAATTTCAGATCGATAGGATAAGTAGAAGTGTGTTAAATTTCGATTACAAGATTTGTAGCAGACAGACAGACAAACAAGAAGTGTAGTTAAAGAGAAGTGTTGTAAAAAGTGGGAACTTTGTGAGGGGAAATCTGAGGGAATAAGAAGTTGAAGCAATATGAGGGGAAATCTGAGGGAATGGAAAGTGGGAGCATTGTGAGGGGAAATCTGAGGGAATAAAAAATGGGAACATTGTGAGGGGAAATGTGAGGGAATAAAAAGTGGGAGCATTGTGAGGGGAAATCTGAGGGAATAAAAAGAAAGTGGGAGCATTGTGAGGGGAAATCTGAGGGAATAAAAAGTGGGAACATTGTGAGGGCAAATGTGAGGGAATAAAAAGTGGGAGCATTGTGAGGGGGAATCTGAGGGAATAATAAGAAAGTGGGAGCATTGTGAGGGGAAATCTCAGGGAATAAAAAGTGGGAGCATTGTGAGGGGAAATTCGAGGGAATAATATACGTTTAAAAACTACTTTTTAAAGACAACACTTCCAAAGAATCCAGTATCTCCAATCTTACAGATGTACAATGAATTTCTCATCTAATTCTTGAAAATTAAAAAAAAATTACCTTTTCAATTTTTTAAATATATATAAATTTTTTTAATATATAATTATTTTCAAAATTATTTATTCTGTTAATTGATTCGTGCATTGCCTCTGATTTCACACCAGTGTGCAAAATCTCAGATCAATTAGACAGGTAAAAGTGTGTCAAATATCAGTTATAAGATTTGTGGCTGACAAAATTATTTTTTCAATTTTTTTAATATTGAAAAAAA